TTTAGGATTTTTTTTTTTTTTGAATAATTCTAATAATTTTAACTGTGAAAGTTAAAAATCTTTGGATTTGAAGCAGGACTCAGAGACTTACTTCCTGTTTGTATTTCTCTTCTCCTCCAGGTGCCGATGAGCCTCCAGACGAGACTCGGGGGTGAAAGCACAGGGTGTGTGCCAGAACTCTCGCTCCTGCTCTTCTTCCTCCTCCTCTGGGCTCCTCGGGTTCTCCTTCAGTTCCTGGTTCTCCTTGTTATCCTGTGAGCTGAGAAGGAAAACTCAAGGTTGAGATCTTTAACTCATCCAGACTAGCTTCAAATTCAGCTTTAGGAGCTAAAACTAACTTCTAGTAAACCTTTGCTGCAGCAGTAAATCCAGAACTCTGAGCTCACCCTGGGTTGTCGATGTCTGTGTACCAGCGCCCATCATAGCCAGGTTTCTTCTCTTTCTTCCTTTGCTTCTCCTGCTCTCTCTGCTCCTCTCTTCTCCTCAGGTACTCGGTTTCCTGCTCTCTGACTCGTCTCCTCACCTGCTCCAGGCCCTGTGAGGCTCTGATCCGCTCCGATCGGCTGATCTCCGTCCCGTCCAGCCACTGGTGACACAGACACAGAAGAAAGTCTCACACCAGAAACTAGAGGTGTCAAGTAACTTAAAATAAATCCTTTGTCACTTTTTTAGTACTTGTTCTTTAATTGAATAATCATTTTTTACTCCCTACATTGGAACAAAATATCTACTCCTTACTTTCTCCAAACTGCCTCTTTACTTAGATGTATGGATAATGATGTGATTAAACAGCTGCAGCAAAAAAAAAAGACAATCAAGAGCAGAGGGAAAATCTGTTCTGTTTTTCTTTTTTTTTTTTTTTTTTTTTACAGAAAGACTGTAATGGATGAAGACAGGGGGCTGGAAATGTTATGAATGGTGAATCAGATTCTGAGCCCAAGACATTTCCCATCCATTCCATTTACATTTCTACATGCTGAAGTTTAATGATCCATTGTAATGATATTTGTTTCCATAATGCTGGGTATACCAGAACTGTAAAGGGATTCAGCTGCTATATGAGACTGCTGTTTAATTAAATGAATATGATATCCTGTCTGAAATGTTCATGTAGATTGAGTCAGTCAACAGTAAGAAAATTAGGAAAATTAACTTACTTTGTGTACATAAATAGTTTTACCATTTACCATTTAAGGCAAAAAAAAAATAGTTTTACTTTTGCACTTAAGTATAATACGGAAGAGGATTAGGGCCACTGGAAAAGTTAATTGATTTTTTAATTTTATTTCAGTTTAGTATGGGAAAAAACTCAGAATTCTGACTTTAATCTCAGAATTCTGACTTTTTTTATTGTCAGAATTCTGAGAAAAAAGTGAAATGAATACAATAAATGTATATTTATACTTTTGCTCTACCAGGAAGCAAGGACCACACCTGTGCTTTAAATGGACTCCTTGATGCTAACAGGTTCACTGGGGCTGTAGGTATTTCCGATAATCAATATTCCTACTCTGAAAGTTGCCACAGTAAAAAAATTCTATAACTTGTAAACTGTAACTTTTTTGTTAGTTATTTAAAAAGGCGAAACTTCAGTTAGCTTTCATGTTTTTGTTGCAAAATGCAGGAAAACCACATTTTAACATTGGCTTTTTATTTAGAGGTTAAACGTTCATTACAATACAAAAAAGAGATGCTGCCAATTAAGTTTTTATTTGATAATTTTGCTTGCTCTGTACAATGACAACAAAGCCATTCATTTGATTGTTATTTAAGTTTAAAGTTCACCTAAGTAAATTAGCTGTAATCGGTGATCCAGCATGGGGGGCTCTAGAGGTTCATGAGCAAAGCATTAGTTTCTTGGAGTAACTGTAAAGGTTTGAGTTTTGAAATTCAGGCTGTTGCTGTCCCTGAAACAGTAGGTATAAATGAAGATGACAGACTCCTTTAATAGAGGGAACAAGCTCTAAATAAAAAAGTATAATTATTAAAGGCAAAGCTGAGAATTCTCACAGATTTTTTAAAACAAATGCACATGCACAACCCTGTACCCGCTCCTGAGACTGAACGCCTATTAAACTTGTGCGAGAGCATGCGCAATTTCTCCTCGTGCACGCTCTGTTTAAAAGTTTGCTGTTTGCATCTCTGATACAAGCTGACTTTCTAAAAGAAGATTTGCAATTTTTCCACTATGTTAGACTCACCACAGGTAAGTGAAAATGGGGACGAGCACATAAGACGGCCTTATGTAAATATATGGCCAGAATGATTGACAATTAGGAGGACCACTTATTTTGATGATCCACTAGGAAAAGAACATCCTCCACTATAGCTTTAAGCGGGAAGTTTTAGATTGATAGTTTTTATTGCCTTTTTGAAGACACCACTGAGTTCAAATAAGTTGAGGAAAAAAAGTTTCAAGATACTTTATAATTTAAAGTTTGGTCAACGTAAAAGCAAAAGTTAAATGATTGAGTTATATTCTGAAACTTAAAAATTTGCTGAAGTTTGTTGTTTTGACATTTGGAGTTTTACCACACAGACAAAATAACCAGTCAAAAGCAATCAAAAAGACGGTTTCATTGCTGAAAGTTCAGGAAGCTTGGTGAGCTAACCTTTAACTGAGGCAACGCAGCCACCACATACTGCCTGTAGCCCTGGAACTCTGTGCAGGGATTCCCCACCAGAAAGAGCTCTCTCAGGTGGATGTTGTTTCTCAGGGAGTCAACACTGCTCAGGAGCCCCACAAAGTTCACTGTCAGATCCAGCTTCTGGAGACTCTCGCAGCCTGCAGGCAGGAAGGAAAATAAACAGGGTATCCTGTTCAGAAAAGTGGTACAAAGGATGAAAAACAAGAAGCTCAGTAGGACAACATGATTCAATTAGGATTTTTTTGTTTTGTTTTGTTTGCAGTGGCTGGTTTGTAATCAAAGCTGGGAACACTGCTTCATGTTCATTTTTAAGTGAAATGAACAAGCTTCAGACATGAAACAAGCCTACAATTCCTGCTCTGTGCACCGACCTTCAAGGTTTTCAACCACTTCGATGTTGTTTAAGGCCAGATTCAGATACTCCAGCTTCTTCAGGCGGCCCAGATTCTCTGCAACATCAAAGGGATCGAATTATAAAAGATTAAGGCCTGAGAACTCCTCAGAGCTCAATCATGGAGACCAGTCTGTGTGAAAACAACTAAATTATTGCTCAATAACTGCTGCCGTATTACAATGTCAGTCTCCAATGACTCCTATGATAAATACAGTTCTGGTTCACATGCATTCGGCATCATCTCATTAATTTATGGTTTTAAATAATTTATTTAAAAGCTATTTTACAATGGATGGATTTTTAAAAAACCAATAAGTTTGGATTTTCTCAAATTAAAAAGGGTTTCGGACACCCTTACTGGTATAATTTTAGTCTAAAAGTAGCTTTTACCTTAACCTAACTGTTCACATCCTTCAACAAGCTCTTTTTGAGTTTTGGTTTCTATTAAAGAGGCCCTGTTCCCAAATGAACAGTTTAATGATAGTTATTATATTCTATCTGGTTTTATATGCAGATTGTGTAAAGATACCGATTTTTGGGATGAGGTTGTTCTGCAGATAGAGGATCCTCAGCTCCCTGCACCACCTGTCAATGTGTTCGATCTTCTCTATTTCCTGCTGGTGCAGAGAAACTTCCTCCAGGGTTAGTATCTCACAGTCGTTGTGCTCGGCCCGCCGACGGATCAGATCCTCTGTGACTAGATGTGAAAAAAACAAACAAGTTAAAAAGTTATGTTAAAGCCACAGGACTACCAACATTGATGAGCTTTTCTTTGTCTGATAAAAACAGTCAGGCTTCCTTTAATGTCACTTTAATATAAATCCCCATTAGACTGTTTGACATTATTACAATATTTTATTATAAGTCCCAGTGCTTTTTAGATGACCACTGATATTTATAAATATGTTTCATTCATATTTCTGCACTTTAATCATAAAATGTGCTTGTTTTTTTAAAGCATCACACTTTAACATCTATGTTATTTAGGGCTCAGTTAAATTTGCTAACTGCCTTTTTTTCCTTTAATTATTTTAAGGTATTGATTTGTATTATCATATTAGCTCACTAGCATTTCTTAGCCATTCGTTTACAGTGAACGGAGACAAGCTGTTAAAAAGAAACAAACTAAACTACAGACAACATGTAAAGAAAAGTAAACCGTAAGATTTAAACGGAATTTAAGGTCAGGTTAATTAAATCTTCATGTTTCCATTAAATTGCGGTATCTTTATTTAATCTTACTGTAAACCATCTCCGTCTATGTCGTTGTAGCACGTTGCCGTGGAAACGGACTCTTTGCTATGTTTAAGACCAGTAGGAAATTTTACAGTTTCAGAAGTTAAATGGGTTTTTTCCTTTAGAACTTGAACACTGAAACCAAAACTGCCAAAATGAAATACTGAAAGAGAAGGTAGAGCAGTATAACAAGATTTTTTCAGGGCTTAAAATGAAACAAAATATTACCATCCCCAATCCATTGCTGATTAAGAAGACACACACACACAAATAAAAATAGGCTACTTCCGTTGTAAATCTTTAACTGATAAAAACAGTGGACCTGATGCTTGATGATGGGCTCAAAGCTATGAATAAACTCGTGTCTGCGCTAACGGGACCAAAGAATTGCTCCAGTATTTACAGACTGTTCTGAATGCAGCATCCGATGGAGCCCTGACTTTTATTTTGAAAGTCCAGCGATCGCAAAAAGGAGAAGTCCAAACAACAGCCTCAGCATCCGGTGGTTCTTCCCGGGGCAGGTAAGCTGCTGTTCGGCTTCAACAACATTATAGTGACCACAGAAACCGAGACGTGGTTGGATCTTCCCTCTCCGAGCTTCCGGCGTTGTTCTTGCAGAGATTTGATCTCGATTTCTCTGTCAGAATGACCAGTTTAAAAGGGTTCCAGTCCCAGCTGACATCCATCATGGAGGCGCTGACCCGTGCCGCGGTGGCGGAGATTTGTGGGTTGGTGGATGACGGCTACGCCGTCCTACAGCTTGAAATCTCCCGATGCCACAAGGAGAACGAGGCGCTGCGACAAAAGCTGGAGCTCATCGAGTCGATCATCGCCCGGGGCAGCCGGAGGATCGACGGTGGGACGATGGTCTGTGGTGGGCCAGCGGAGGATGGGGAGGGACTGGAGGATGCAACAACCGGTGAGTTCAATAGAACCGAACCGAAACACTAAAGGTTTAATCACCGGATCAGACTCTGTTTTAGTCTTTAATCGCCTATTTCATAGAGCAGAGAGAAAGAGAGAGAGTGGGTCTTCAATAATTTAATTAGAAACCTACCAGCGCTTAATGTTTCAACCAAACTCCATTAGGAAAGAGTAAAAAACTAGCTTCGGCTTTAATGGGACCAAAGTTCTGATTGACTTTTTTAACTAAACCTGCTTCTTTTTACCTCCCTTTTATTTCGGCGTAGTAATGAAACCTTGAACTTGAACATAGTCCTGTTTATTAGCGTCTCCAGAGGTCCTTCATCCCCAATGCAATCAGACCCTTTAACTAACGTGTAATAAAGCATCTTTTCAGGCCACTGCAGCATCATTATAAATGTGCATTACTGTTCTGGATGTATTGAAAGATATATTTTAAAGGACCTTTATGCGTTTTAATGCACATTTCTTGAATCAGTTTTATTTTTTCTGTTGTAAATTGACCTTAAACACTTTTATTGGCACATGGTTTTGTTTAGTATCTTTGACCCTTTGGAGTAGAAATGGCCTCTATTCCTCTTTCACTTTTGCTACAGGTACACCTGTCCCCACAGTGGGACAACAATAGATGCTTCTTTTCTGTTCTATTCATCAAACACCTGTGGTTCATGGGAATTCATATGATAAAACCAAAGATTAGAACCACTAGTCACAAAGAATCAGAGTCCTCTTGAGAACTTCTAATTTAGTGAGTCAGCTGCTGCTTTTAGTGAGGAGCTATGAAGGAATCTGTTGCCAGGGGTGACACTGTAATCTTAGAGCTGTGATTATTTGTTAAAAACACATAAAAGACTAAAACTTTTCAAAATAAAACTAGTACTTAGTGGAGATGAATGAATTAATCCCATAATTCTGGCTGGATTAAGAAACCTGGATCCTGATGATGATTTGTTTACATTCTTATCTATCTGCTATGGTTATGTTTACTCGTAATGCTTTGTTATTATACCATTTTGTGTATTTATATTGATATACTCTCACCTGTCAGCATTTTACTGTGATTGCCTGCTGATAGGGATTGCTAAGAATAGCCGAAATTACTTTAAGATGGAGAGAAAATGGTGAGGAAAATTGAACTGGACAGAGACGCTGTGTCTAGTGATGCCACAATTGTAGGAGGAGGTGGGGGTGTTGAAAGGTATATTTAGCCCCAGGATTTACATCCTTCTTCCTGCCTTTAACCCCCCCAGCCTGAAACATTGCAAGCAAAAGCCAGGGAGAAGATTTCAGCAATATCACCTAATTTGCACCCTACTTCTTATGGAGGGTTAAAAGGGACAAAATGAAATAAATTCATGCATCATTAAATATCCCATTAAATAATGAAATATCCATTTTATTTATTTAATGCATCATTAAGTAATTATATGTACCATTAAATTATGAAATCTGCAATTAAATAATTAAATATTATTTTTAAATTATGAGATTAGATAATAAAACCTGGGGCATGTAATGCAAAATGTACTTTATGCACTAATTTGCACTTCAATTTGGTTTACTACTGCATCTAGAAATGGCCTAAGCACCAAAAAAACAGTGTTTTTTTTTTTTTGTTAACAAATCAGGGTCTGGATTCCAAGCTGCCTAAAAAACCTCGATTATTACCTCACAATCAGCGAGCACTGCGCATTACTTAAGCAAAGTCGACCTGTAAGAAAAGTATAACAATAGTTTAAAAACACATCTTACAGTGATGAAAGAAATATTAGAATAAATCACTGAAACAATTAAAAACTACGATTGAACTAAAGCTGAACATAGAAAACTAACGGTTAGCACGATGCTAATACGCTTTAACCCTCCCACAGGGATGCTCGAGCCATTGGCGTCTTCTATAACTGTAGAGTTTAACACAGCAGAAAGAATAAATTGCTGATTCAGAAACTGCTCACTGGATCCTTGCTGGTTGGATCAATGTCTAAGATGTACAGTTGCACTGTTGTGCATCTATTTGCAGCCTGTTCAGGTGTATAAAGTGTGCATGTAAGCGTGCAGCTACAGCTAATTGGCATAAATGTGACAGAGTTCACTCTAAAAGGAGCTTTAGATAGATCAAACTGAGGGGGAGACATGTGGTGAACATTTATAGGTCGCAGACTTTTTCTGTCCTAACCTGAGAAAGAAGCAGAACAGTTTCCCTTAAAATACATATTTTAATAAAACTGTTGAATTTACATATATTATTTCTCTCTATATTTCCTGAATTCATAGCATCCGCACAGCAGACTTATTGTGAAATGATTTAAAAGGTATTGTTGTCACGTCAAACTGCTTGTAGGTTTAGGGTGGCTTAAGACCTTAAAATTCCATCTTATTTTGCTTTTACTCTGAGGTTAATTCTTTTACAGGAAAGTACAGAAATAACTTCAACATCTTCATTCAATTTAATTACCACAAACCTGGCAGAGCAACTCCAGCCTATGTGTCTTTGATTTGTCTGATTTATCTCTAATAAGTTAATAAGAGAGCATCAGCCAGCGGTGGGCGGGGCTAACGTTGATCCTGTCTGAAGTCTGCAGCAGTTTAGACCCTGTGTTATATTTTTATACACCAAACTGAGCTGGAATTGCTTACCAAGAGTTTAGAATAAATAAATAAATAAAATTGAATTATTTAATGTCATTACTTTATGGTGCATTTCATTATTTAATGATGTATTAAATTAATAAATGGTACATTTAATTATTTAATGGAATTTTTTTTTGTGTTGTAGTGCATTCACCTTATATTTTTAATGATATGTTAATTTATATCCTTTTTTACCCTCTGTTTAAGTAACTATATCGTTTGTGTTTTTTATTTAATGTGTTATTTGGGATTATTGATCTTGTTTGTTTTCTATTATTTATCCATATTTATCAGGATCACCTTGCTGGAGGTGCATTTTAACTCCTCCTTCTGCTGAAACAATAGAACCCCTTCCCCATAGTGGGGAGAGGAATTGGATCTTTACTCTCTTTTTAAATAATTTAGTTTCAACGTTAATGTGCTCATTTGCACATAAATGAGCACACTGATAAGCGCGCCTGGACTGGATTGGAAAGGTCAGCTCACCCTTGATGAGGTCATTCATAAACACTGAGCGGGCAGCGCCTCATTAATTCATTGTGCGGAGAAAATCTCCTTTCTCTCCGTTTCCTCCATCTTCTCTTAGGTCTGCTACAGCCCTCGTCACCAATCCTAATGTTTGTTCTCTTTAAGGGCTTTTTTAAGCTCTGAGCAGTTGAAAATCTTTAATTTACTGAAGTAAAAGTCTATAAAAAGTTAGCATAACTTGAAGAATTTAGTTACGTTTTCTAAAATGGCGTCACTAAGAGCTGCTTTTGGATCTTTGTAAATATTGACCCTGATGTTTTCAGGTTTCTTTTAGCTGGATAATATGAATCCTTCATCAATCTGCTGTTCCCATAACGCTGAAAGGCCTCAGGACTGAGAAAAGCGGTACTACACCTTCAGTGTTCTTCTTCTTAACAAATACTAGATGTCAGTGCGCTGATCTCTATTTATTCACTGGATTGCTGTTAGGCTGTTAGCAGTACACGTTGCTGTGAAGTCACCAGCCGCCATATTGTTACTCCCTAGTTAGACCACTGAACTCCATTTATTGATAGAGATCAGTGAGTTAGATTGGTCAGAGTGTAAACAATACGGGCGCTACAGCATCGAACAGCGATGATGTTCTCATTTTCAGGGGGGCTTATAAAATAAAGATGAATTAATCACTTTTACACAAACTTTCTGTTTCAAAAGCACCATTTTAGTGATGTTATGAGATGAGTCGAGGCTTCGAGGCGTGTGTCGAGTAATGAGGGGGCATTTCCCCAAAGCATGTGTTGAGGCCTGATTCGTTTGAGGGGAGGGGCCAGAATTGATGACGTCCGAAGCCTCGTTACCGTGATACCATGTGACCGCTTTGGAAGGTGGCTCAGAAAGCCCAAGAACTTTGGCAGGACTTTGAACAGCCTCAGGATTCAGTCAAGATGTGAGAGTTTGGAGGAGAGCTGCTGTCAGTTGGACAGAGTTTGGATAGATTCTAAGAATAGATTGGTTGGAAAAACAACC